TACATATCACAAGTAGCAAAAAGATAGGCACATATAGCAAGAGCCATGCTTTTATGGCTAAGATACCATTTTCATGGAGCTTTTGCATGGGATGGCCTACAAAACTATCTAATTTCAGCTTCCTGAGTAGTTAGGATTCCACACATGAGGGAGTGTAATTGCTCATTTTTAATTGCTGGTCTGAAATTAAAAGTGGAAGGGTACTTGACCAATTCAGTGAACATTAACTCCCTTTAATTCTGAATTCAAGCAAAGTGTTGGCCAAATGATAATAACAAAAATAATACAAAACATTAATAAAATATGTTATCATCAGGCATACTTTTAATGAATGTGGTATTTTGGTTCATAACTTGAGGTATATAACAGGCCTAGGTAGGACTCCAGTCTGTGAACCATCCCTTCTCAGAAAGCATACAGTTTGTAAACATGGGAGAATGAGCGATTCCCAAATGGATAGAGTGTGTGTTTGTGTGTGTGTGTGAGTGTGTGTGTGTGTGTGTGTGTGTGTAGTACAAATAGGAAGGCCAAGGGCACAGGTGCCTCCCAATCCCATTTTTTTTACTAGGCCTCTGTAGATAAGCAGAAGGGTTTGCCTAGGAAGGTGGTTCAGTGTCAGAGCACTTGCCATGCATGCATGAGTTCCTGGGTTCAATTCCCCAGGACCACATAAGCAAAAAAAAAAAAAACCTGGAAGTGGCACTGTGGCTCAAGTGGTAGAGTGCAAGCCTTGAGCTGAAGAGCTGAGGGACAGCACCTAGGCGCAGAGTTCAGGCCACAAGACCAGACCCCCCACCCCAAAAAAGTAGAAGGGTGAACAGTGTGATGGAAGAGGTTAAGTGAGCAACTAGCTAAATCTTGCAATGTGGAGTCCACTGTCCTTATCTTGTAAATGGAATCATAGGCAGGATTTAAGGATTCCTTTTTTTTTTTTTTTTGTCAGTCGTGGGTCCTGCTCAGGCTGGCTTTGAACCGCGATCTTCAGATCTCAGCCTCCTGACTAGCTAGGATTACAGGAGTGAGGCACCTGTGCCTGGCAAGGATTACTTTTTTTACTGTGAAAATACTGTAAAGAAGAGTTATTATTTTTGAACAATTGAAATAAATACTGAAATTGTTGAAGCCACAGGAAGCCTGAGCTGAAGCACTGAAGGAAACCTCATGTTCCCAGAGAGAGATTTCTTCAGAACAGCCCACAGGGCTCATGCTTTGATTCCTAGCTTTTATGGAGGCCAAGATGAGAGAATCTCCTTTGAAGCCAGCTCTGGTTGGCTTCAACTCAGTTCCTGAGTTCAAAACCTCATATTGGCACAATAACGTTCCTTCATGAATGTGTGAAAGTATTGCTCTTCATGTAACCAAACAGCTCTACACATATCTAGAATGACTGGCTTATATAGGATCTGGAGTCTTGGTCTTGGTTTATTAATTAAGCTCTTTCTGATGTAACAGAAATTGTTTCTAAATGCCCTCAAGGATATCTTTAATTACATAACTATACAGTGGCATCTATCTTGGCTTTAGAAATTCTAAATTTAGGTCAACCTTTCTGTTTCTGTAAAAGAAGACACTATATTTGTTCGAAGCCACATTATGGTAGATGGAATACTGGAGTCTATTTCACAGCTAGCAGTCTGCAAGCAGCCTGTTCTAACAAAGACATGCAGTCCACAAATACATTTAGACAACTTGGAAATAGGACAGAAGGGGGGGGAGAGAATAAAAACAGCACCGAGAAACCAATCAGCACCAAGAAAGTGATGAATTGAGACACTGGATGACCAGAGGCAAGCCAGGAGAAAGCACACAGGACATGATCAAAGAGGCATGTGGCATGGCATCTGGTGCCACTGCTGGTCCAGTCTAAATAGGGCCTAAGCAGGAGGCAGGTCTACAGGAAATTCCCAGTCCAGGCACTGGACTATCAGATTGAGTAACATCAGCCAAATGCCCATGCCTGCTTGCAGGGATCCAGCCACACCCATCAGTTGGGAGGTAAGTGATGGATGGGGCATTTCCTTCCCCCTGCATGAAAACAAGATGCCAGACCCCACCATCCACCAGGTGGCCAAAGGGCACCAGCCACACCTGACCTCCTTAATATTACTGTATTATTAAATCAATTTATAAAGTTACATCCTCTTTATCGTTTTGTAAACATTCAAAAATTTGCTTTTTGTAAAAGCCATATTTCTTGAGCTCCACCTCTGAAACAATAATTCTCACATTCACCAAAAATTAAACATTCTTCTTTTGAATAGTTTATTTCTTCCTTCTTCCTCATTCCTTCCCTTACTCTTTCCAACTCTCACTTCCCTACTCCTTCCTTCCTTCCTCTCAGGGTCTAGAAGTGATGCTGTAGCTCAAGTGGCAGATGGTTTTATTTCTTTCTTAACTTCAATTTTTGTGAGATTGATCAATATTTTTGTGTGCTTGATTATTTCCCCTAATGTCATATCTACTTTGACCCTCTATGAGATAACACAGGTGTGACACATCGTCCACACTGGTGTTTTATTATAGCTCACTCAGCAGAACAACTAAATGGGCTAAGAGTGAATCAATCACAAGTTTTTCATCACCAGTGATTAATTAAAGAAAAGTGCAAGCACTGAAGACACTTTGGGGTTCTCCCCCAAGACAAAATGCAGGGCTGCGAAGGTAGCTCAGTGGTAGAGCGCTTGCCTTGCATGCTCAAGGCCCTAGGTTCAATTCCTCAGCACCACATAAGAAAAAAGAAAAAAAGCCACAAGTGGTGCTCTGGCTCAAGTGGTAGAGCGCTAGCCTTGAGCTGAAGAGCTGAGGGACAGCGCCCAGGCCCAGAGTTCAGGCCCCACGACCGGAGCCTCCCCCCCATAAAAAAACAAACAATGCAGAGATTCTAGTCTTTATTAATCCATCATATTTTTAAATATATATCTTATTGTAAAGATACTGCATAGATTCGTCATACCATTATATGAGTTAGGTCATTAATATATTTTCTATCGAGCATTGTTACCCCTCCAAGAAAGACTTTACTACTGTTATGACTTTTTCTGGAAAACCTTTCCATTTTTTCTACATATGATTTTTCTCCTCTTTGTGTGTGAGGGTGTGTGTGTGTGTGTGTGTTTTGTGTGTTCTGTAATGAAATCTTAGCCGTGTCTTGTAGTTCGAGGACTCCACATCTGCTATATCATAAGGTCTCTATCCTGTATTGGTCCTTTATTGCAATTTCAATTTTCTTATAGATAAAAGACTTTCCCCATTTGGTACAATCCTAAGTTTTTTCATTTGTGTGAATCAACTTATGTGTGTTAAGCTGTCTTTCCACATTGGTCACATTCATAAGGTTTCTCTCCTTGTCTCTGTGATGGATGTTAATTTGTGCCTTCCAGGTGAAAGAATTTCCATGCTTGCTACATACATAACATTTCTCTCTGGTTGGTTTTTTTCTAATGGACAGAAAGGTGTATATTCTGCATGAAAGATTTTCCACATAGGTAACATTCATAAAATTTCTCTCCTGTGTGTGCTCTCTGGTGGATAGTAAGTTGTAGCTTCTGGCTGAAAATCTTTCCGCAAATATGACATTCATAAGTTTTGTTTCCTGTGTGTTTTCTGATCGACAGTGAGGTTTGACTTCAAGGTAAAAGTCATTCCACACATGTTACATTCATAAGGTTTCTTTCCTGTGTGTATTATCTGATGGACATTGATGCTTGACTACCAAGAGAAGGACTTTCCACACGTTACATTCATAAGGTCTCTCTAATGTGTGTGTTTTCTGGTGCATAGTAAGGTTTCCTTTATGGGTGAAAGACTTTCGACACAAGTTACATTCATAAGTTTTCTCTCTAGTATGTGTTCTCTGATGGAGATTAAGAGTTGATTTCTTGGTGAAAGATTTTCCACACATCTTACATTCATAAGGTTTCTCTCCTGTGTGTGTTCTCTGGTGCAGAGTAAGATATTCCTTGCAGGAGAAAGACTTTCCACAAATGTTACATTCAAAAGGTTTCTCTTTTGTGTGTGTTCTCTGGTGGCGAGTAAGCATCGATTTCGTGGTGAACGACTTTTCACACTTGTTACATTCATAAGGTTTCTCTCCTGTGTGTGTTCTCTGGTGGAGAGTAAGATATGCCTGGCAGGAGAAAGACTTACCACAAATGTTACATTCAAAAGGTTTCTCTCTAGTATGTGTTCTCTGATGGAGATTAAGATTTGATTTCTTGGTGAAAGATTTTCCACACATCTTACATTCATAAGGTTTCTCTCCTGTGTGTGTTCTCTGGTGCAGATTAAGATATGCCTTCCAGGAAAAAGACTTTCCACACATGTTACATTCAAAAGGTTTCTCTTTTGTGTGTGTTCTCTGGTGGACAGTAAGGTATTTCTTCCAGGTGAAAGACTTTCCACACATGTTACATTCAAAAGGTTTCTCTTTTGTGTGTGTTCTCTGGTGGACAGTAAGGTATGTCTTCCAGGTGAAAGACTTTCCACACATGTTACATTCATAAGGTTTCTCTCCTGTGTGTGTTCTCTGGTGTCTAGTAAGATATGCCTTCCAGAAGAAAGACTTTCCACACATGTTACATTCATAAGGTTTCTCTCCTGTGTGTATTCTCTGGTGTCTAGTAAGATATGCCTTCCAGGAGAAAGATTTTCCACAAATGTTACATTCAAAAGGTTTCTCTTTTGTGTGTGTTCTCTGGTGAATAGTAAGCTTTGATTTCTGGATGAAAGACTTTCCACAAACGTTACATTCATAAGGTTTCTCTCTAGTATGTATTCTCTGGTGGACAGTAAGCGTTGATTTCTCGGTGAAAGATTTTCCACACTTGTTACATTCATAAGGTTTCTCTCCTGTGTGTGTTCTCCGGTGTCTAGTAATATATGCCTTGCATATGAAAGATTTTTCACAAATGTCACATTGAAAAGGTTTCTCTTTGGTGTGTGTTCTCTGGTGGACAGTAAGCTTTGATTTCTCGTTGAAAGACTTTTGACACATGTTACATTCATAAGGTTTCTCTCCTGTGTGTTTTCTCTGAGGGAAAACAGGGTGTTTCTTCTCAGTGAAAGACTTTTCACACTGTTTACATTCATCAACTACAGAAGACACATGAGGACTATATGCAGCACACATCTTACCAGGTTCACTGAAAATACCCATGCTCTGACAGCCAGTGACCTTTTCTATCCTCATCCCTAAGGAGTTCCCATTATTCTTAATCAGTTCTGACTTCTGTATGGAGCTCAAATGAAAACTTCTTATAAGTCTCACTTTTTCCTCCCCTGGTTTACTATTCATGATTGCTACTTCAGAGAGATATTTATTGTGATGTTCCTGGCAGGTGCTAATCACATCCTCCATTTCTGGGACATCTAAAATGAATAATAGAAAAATAAACAAAAACACAAATGAGATCCATAAATTCCTTAATGTGAAGATATTTCCTCACATTCTGTTACAATATTTTCAAATATCAAAGCATTGTTTTATGCAGAATATATATATTTCTCTGCAATGTAATAATTAAGAAAGTAGTATTGACATTTTACAATGGAAAATAATGTTTTTCTGTATTTCAGATTTTTATAGTTTTCTCAAGGAAATATTTACTCAAATTATTCATCTCCATACTCTTAATGCTTCCATTCTGAATCTCCCTCTATGCCCAGCACCACTGATAAGAAATTGTCCTGATCCTATTTTCCTCCTACCTGCAAAATACTAGTTTAAAATGAGATCTCCTTACTACATTTCTTATTGTCTTTTTCTCTTTATGAATGACTTCTCTACAGCCAAATTGAAGTGCTAACATTAACTACACTGGAACATCAAATTCAGTTTCTCTCCATGAGAATTCTGGATTGACAATTCCTTGAGACAAAGGATCACCTAGTTCTCTTCCATACATGACACAGGGTATTAGGAATACTATTGCTCTGTACATCTCAAGATAAACAGACCCACTGGGCTCTGGACCCAACATCACTATTCAAGATGCTTTAACTCACCTGTGAAATTCTCTTCTGAGTCTTCTCTCATCCATGGTTCTGCACCTTGCTCCAGCTTCACAATCAATATAGGTTTAGGAACACAGTGCCCTGTGAGTAAGAAATAGAGTAGAACTATTGCTCTTGCTGGGTCATCATTAATGTAATGTTGCAGACATCCTGTTCATTGGGTTGCTCCTAAATCTGGCTTCTCAATTGTTTTATTTTTTGGGGGGATGGGATCGGTTTTGGGGCCTGAACTATGAGCCTGGGAGCTGTATCACACCTCCTAAGCTCAAGGCTAGCACTCTACCACTTGAGCCACAATGCCAATTCTGTCTTTTTTTTCTGCTCTTTTGGTGCTGAGGAATCGAACACAGGGCTGCAAGCATGCAAGGCACGGGCTCTACCACTGAGCCACCTTCCCAGTCCATGGTTCCTCAATTCTTAACAGCTCCATGGTGTTTGGGGTTTATTTTGGGTTTATTTTCCCAATGTGTGGCTTGGACTCAGCTCTTTTGCTCAAATCTAGCATTCTACTAGTTTGTGTCTTGGCTACATTTCTAGTTTTTGAATGGTTAATTGGAGATAAGAGTCTCATGTTCATTTTTCTACAGTTGCTGGCTTTAAACCAAAATCCTCAGATTTCAGCCTACAGAGTATCTAGGATTCCAAGCTTGAAGCAATGCAACCTATGTCAGGTTTGGCTTACAAATACACACTTTCACACTTTCACCTACTGATTTCCAGATCATACTGACAGTAGTAATGTATATTCTATCTAGAGTGTAGATCCACCTATAATAATCACCCCAAGTCTGGAAAGTCAGTCTCCTATTAGTGGATCATAGTTTAGAACTTTTGTCCAACTAATGATTAGAAATCTTAAAGACTGAGAATAAAATTAGCTCTTGAGTTATATGTAATGAAGTTGAAGTTTCCCTTAGGAAGAAATGACACTTCCCATGGACTGGAATCTTTTTTTTTAAACAAAATGTAATGGTCAAAAGGCTTACATTTCTAACCCTACATTTAGGAGGCAAGATCAGAAGAGGCAGGCTTGAAACCAACCTGGGCATGGAAATTCAGAATATACCCCAAAACAAAAGCCAAAATAGAGTTGTGGCTCAAGCAGTAGTGTGAAAGGCAAACAACATCAAGCTCCCAGACCTGAATTTGGCTGGCTTTTATACTAGCAGTTTTTTTTTTACAAGGGAATGGACTGGAATCTTATACATAAATAACATAGTCAAATGTCTACTAAAATAAAAGCACTTGATCTTCCAAATAAAAGTGACCTTTGCTCACCCAAGGACATTAGGTTGCTATAGGTCTCCAGCATCACTTCTCTATGAAGGGCCCTCTGACCAGGATCCAGATCCTGCCACTCCTTCCTGGTGAAGTTCACAGCCACATCATCAAATGACATCAGCTTCTGTAATGGCACATTTCCATCAGGAAATTAGACCTGTGTCATGAGAATTCCAATCTGGAATTTCATTATGCTGCAGGTATGCTTTTGTCTTACATAAAAGGTTTGCAGCTGGCTATGTGATCTTTTCACTGGGAAAATTAAATAGCAAATTAGAAATATTTGACAATACATAAGCCTAGCCATTAAAATACACAGATGTGCAGGGCACTGGTGGCTTATGCCTGTAATCCTAGCTATTCAGGAGGCTGAGGTCTGAGGATCAAGGTTCATGGCCAGCCCAGGCAGGAAAGTCCATGAGACACTTATCTCCAATAAACCACCAGAAAACTGAAAGTAGCACTGTGACTCAAGTGGTAGAGCACTCACTTTGACCTGAAGACCTGAGGGACAATAACCAGGCCTAGAATTCAAGCCCCAAGACCAATAAAATGTTACAAATTCCCTAACGCATGCAAACACATTTATGCTGCTAACAATAGAGACAAGATAAAAATTCTAAGGAGACAATAATCTGGCATAATGACATAAAGTCTAAGGTGGTGTCTAAAAAATTATATTATTATTTTTGATAAAATTTTAGTTCATAGAAGCATAACAATGAATTAAACAAATATTTTCTCAGCATTTACATTTACTGCTTCATCATAAATCCTATTTAGACCTTCTATTAGCAAGTACTCTCATAAGCAAGCAGAACACATTCAGGATATCACATGGTATACAGAACATAGAACATTACTAGATCAAAGAGAAGCAGTGTCCACATGAATATTAAAAAACAGTAACAGTACTCGAGAAAGTAGCTAATGATTTATTGGGCCCTTATAAGATTTGATTTAGTTCCCACATAAAAATATCCTACGTTAACCATGCTTGGTTTAAATACTAAATATTGAAATGTGGTCATAGATACCCTGATATATCCTTCCTATGTTAAAAAGAACTGCTACCATGAAATTTTGTAAATTTCTCTAGATTCTACAATACATAATATAGGTGGGAGGGGAATAAAATATTCCTTGAGAAGATTTTCATTTTAATAGGCCTTCATGGAAGGTGGAGGCAAATTGATAGAGACTCAAGGAACACTCAAGATGACAAAAATGATAAATATGACCAAATGCTCAAATGTGTTAAATATTCCTGAGTCATTTCTCCAGTAGATCCCTAAAGATATATTTCTACTTTTGTTAGTTAATAGTGAAATTCTTCAGAGATCAAAATCACTTCCTGAGCAAACCCCTGTGAGATTTTGCAACAAATGATATTTCTAATGGAGAAAACCTCATCACTGTATTATTTTTTTTATCAAAACTACCTATCTTATACTGGCAGTGAATGAAAATATTTAAAAGTAGTGGTATGGAAAAACAAAACTGAATACCACGACAAATGAAGTTAGACCAAAGATAACAGAATCAGGTGAAATCAAATTTTCTTGTAGTTTATCAGTTGGAGGAAGGATGTACTTTTCTATATGGAACTCTGAAGTTGAGCTGAAGGGGAAAAAAGTTTGAGAGGTTGGAATTCCAGCCTGACAGCACTGAGAGAACTGAGAGCTGGCTGCAGAAGGCTTAAAAGAGAATTCTGGAGATGGTTAAGAGACTGGAGTGCAGGCCTTTTCCTTACTGTTGGAAAGATAGCATCTGAAACTGAGCTGCTGTTCACCTTGAAGGCTAGGTAAGGTGAACTTCATGTCTGCATTTTCTCTGGGCGCCAGTCTTCTGTCTCAGGAGAATAAGGAAACATGTTTTCCTCACAACCTATTGTGGCTCAGATTGTAATATTAATATAGATACTTCAATTTTACATGTTATAAATGGTAATCTTCCCTGTGTGAACTCAAGGAACTATGCTTGCTTGCTGGCAACCACAGACCAAGTGCCAGAGAGGCTTCACCCTGGTTTCCCCTAAGTCTATCTGTTTATGTTTTTGTGTTTCTCTAATTTTCTTTGTTTCTGGAATCCTGTAGAACTCTCTAGGCAACAATTTTCCTATACTATGGGTAAGAAAAATGTCAATCCTAAGAGCCATGTCAGCAACCTAAAACTAATCACTAAGAAAAACTAGTTCCCAGATAGATCATTGAAGAAAAGAAAAAACTGAGAGACATATGGAGGAAAGACAGAATGAGAAAAGTAAGAAAAAATGATTCAAAGATAGATACAAACAGAGAGAAAGAGAAAAATAACCAACACAAGTGAGTAGAAAACCAAAAGTAGAGAGAGATTACAGAGGAAAATCTTGTGAGGATACTTTAGAAAACCAACAAAATATTCTAAAACGACCATAAAGTTTAGCAACAAATATAGCCTCAGCTTCAAGTAAGACCAAGACCATGAAGTAGTCCAAGAATTATATAGGGAGAGTAATTTAAGTACATATAGGTTAATCATTCCTTAAGAACACACGAAGGTGCGAATGACCATACTATTTCAGCAATTCCAACAAAATTTCATTGAGATAGTTTAATGTTACTCATGAGGATGAGACCTGGTTGCAATCTACCCTTCACCTTCCATGACACGTAACCTGCTCGGAGTCACTACATCACATAACAGGTATGACTACATGTTATGACAAGATGAAACCTGGACATTCTGAAGGCAATCTGAATTCAACTTAGAAAGAATATAACCATTTAATCTGCTAAACCTACAATAATCTTTATCTCCTAAATCTACAAGCCATCTTTATCTGATTTATGAATATGTTCCTGAGGCTGAATCTGTGTGGTTGATATTGGTTGTAATTCTTGGACATCTTTAGGTTCATATAATGGATTGGAAAACAAATGAGAAATAAAAGAAAACTCACCAGAGATCCATTCATTCTGTCTTGCTGCTGACAATGAAGAGAAGACTCTAGAAGCACGGCTGGGATATAAGGCAAATGACGTATTCAGAAATGAATCTGTGAGATTTTCGGTCCAGAATTTTCTCCTACAAACATGATACATGGGCTGCAAAACCATAAAGCTGTCTTAGAAGAATCTTTAATGTCTCAGGCAGAACATTAAAGTCTCCAAGAAACACAAATCCAGTCCATTTCCCAGTAGATAGATATTATTAAACCAACTAATTTCTATATTTATGTACACATTAAATTGGAAAAAATGAATGTTCCCACAAATATTATTGAATACTTGAAAGCAAAAACATATCACATTTCCACAAAAAGTATTTATTACTGAATGTACTTCGGTATGTAGGAACTGCTTTTTTTAATGCAAAGGTATCCTAGGAATCCATTGGAATTTGTGTTCTACCTCATTCATTTACATATTTAAACACCAGGGAAAGCATGTATGATGTATCTCAGTAGTTTTCCCCAAAGGTAGAGAAAAAAATGTATGCAGAATATATTTCTTTTCTTATAATATTTCAACAATGGTTGTCAAATTGCACATTTCACTGTACCCATCACACACAAATGCAATAACTTGCAATTTGCCATTTAACATGCTTTGGCCAAAGGGACATGAGTAAAGATGAGGTAAACCCAGGTTTGAGAAGTCCCTAATGTTCATTTCCCTAAACAGTCTTGGGAAGAAGCTTGACCATCCTAAAAATACAACATAAAATACTGCATATAGGAGTGACACACCTGAAGATAAGCATCACCTACAAAGCATACAACCTTGAGTAAGACATATTACTTCAAGTTTTCTTCTGTGATTTTTCTTTTGAGGCCAAATGTCCCTGACCAATACTTTCTGTACTACCAGGCACAACCAACCGATAAGAGCTAGCATTAGCAAATCCTTAGATGGGACATTTAACATGAATTTGCATGATTACATACTAAAAATCATAGTGGTAACAGGCTGAATAAATTAGCAAGAAGAGGATTAGGGATTACTACATGAATATATACTTTCAGTCATAACAATTACACCACCATCCCAGACCACAGCCTTAGGTACCCTCTGATAACTACCCACTGATTTATTCCTCAATCCAGCCCATCACAATTCCTGGAAATTAGTTTAAATCTTACAACAACCCAAAGTGATTAACAGTGGTGTAGGAAAGAGTACCACGAGAATCTGGTGCTCAGGGAAGTAGCAACAATTTTTGCAAAAGGCAAGGGAAGCTAACAATATCTTCCCCTTCCTGTGCTTTTCTGCTTCTTCCCTTTAGGGCTTCTCAGAATTGACAAGGTCTGTCCATTTAGGATGGAGATTCCTATTCATATTGTGCTCTGCTTCAAACATTGCTAGGCTTTGTTCTTAAAAATACAGGATCAGCACTCACTACGCCAATATCCCATGTAGAACTGTCTCTAGAAACCGGGTCATGTACAAACGCTTGTGAACTCAAGCCAGGAGATTAAAAACTCAAGCCAAAGAGAATAAATTATCTCTAGGAGAATCGACACAGAAGCCTCAAATACAACTGCAATGTAAGAGGACTCAAGGCAGGCACACACCTCACAATTTCACTAGATTTCTTCCTATACTCCTCTTACACCTGAGAAAAGCAAATAAAGTCACATGGGTTAATAGAAGAATCCCTTGGTCTTGGAGTACAAATGCACGGCTCTTAGGCTCTACTCCTCTGGACAATCACCCAGCTTGCTCTCAGACATTTGGAAACCAGGTTCTTGCATCTGAAGGCCCAGAGGCTAATGGCAACAAAAACTACTGACCTTCAAACAAATTATCAACCCCAGTCTGGAGAAAAGCATGGAAAGGGAAGTAGGCGCTTTGGCTCAAGTATAAAGCTCTCCCTCTGAGCTGAGGAGCTCAGGAATGCTGCTTGCAGGCCCAGAGTTCACACCGCACCAAACAAATTGAAACAGAAAATGAAACAGAAACCCATGGAGGGGAGACTCCCCAGCAATTGCACAGTTCCTACCTGACATCAGTTTCAAAGCATGAGATTCCTTCAAGTTACAGCTCCCAAGTTACACTGCACAGAGCTGGGCCTCGGCCTCCTGGCTCCCACCTATGAAAGGTCAAACTGTACTCCAGGGCACTTCCAGCAGCAAGGCAAAGAAAAGAATCCAGAAGAGGCAGAATTAAAACACCCGTGGTGGGCGGGGAGAAGCATGCGCAAAAGCATCTTCTGCCCCACCTCCACCCTCCAAAAAACAAAAACAACCCAGGACTTTCAAAGAAAATATCCTCCATGGAGACTACAATTCCCACAAAGCTCGGCGCCACCCTGCTGCAAACTTGGGGAACAAGTGTGCTCTCGTTCATTGGCACTTTTCTCTCCCTGCTGTGGGTGTTAAGCTCAGTTTCTTCTTGAAAACCACTGTTTCCTCTTGAAATACATAAAACCAATCAGAATATGGATATATATGGGGAGAATTGGATGCATTGGCTTTTTGATTCTGAGTTCTAATAATGAAATTGAGGTTATGAGACTGCGTTGCTTATACCTTTCTGTTTATTCAATGCCTGCCTTCTGCTGGATGTAAATTATATCTCTGTTTTGTCTTAATTCTTTTTTAATACATCCCCTCTTACTTTACAAAGGTATTCACAGCCACTAAACTTATACGTGGGTCATTTCCCATTGTTGTAATGTATACACTGGCATAAAATAGTGAGCTTGTTAGGTAAATATGCAGCATAATACTTCTGGTGATTTGGATTTCACAAAATCTACAAATTAATTTTCCAGATACTACTCAATTCTATCTATTAAATCAAATGAGTTTTTGTTTTTTGATGAATTTTGCATTTCATTTAAGGATTTTATGTTTTGTTTTGTTGTTGGTCCTATGGCTTGAACTCAGAGGTTGGACACTGTCTGTGAACATTTGCTGTACTCTATTTGCATATCCTGTAAAAATTTCTTCAGGGATCAAGTGAAAAGTTTCCTCACAGGGATTCTTTTTTTTTTTTTTTTGGGTCCGGTTGTGGGGCCTGAACTCTGGGCCTGGGCGCTGTCCCTCAGCTCTTCAGCTCAAGGCCAGCACTCTACCACTTGAGCCACAGCACCACTTCCGGCTTTTTTCTTATGTGGTGCTGGGGAATGAACCCAGGGTCTCGAGCATGCAAGGCAAGTGCTCTACCACTGAGCCACCTTCCCAGCCCCAGTCACAGGGATTCTTATGAACATGGGACATCACCTCCATTTCCCTTCAAAGAGATAATGATTTGGGGGGGGGGGTCAGGGATGAATGCAGGAGGGATAGAAGAGTGAAGTTTAGGCTAGGCTATTTTGATGTGAAGCTTAATCACTTGCAAACCAGTCTGCTTTTGTCATTTCATTTTGCATGTGAAAATCTCTTTAGAATTCTTATCTCTTCTCTGATCCTAACAGTCCCTCTCAGTAGCTTTAGGCTACATTTCTAAGGGACCTCAGACTTAGACCTTATCCATGAAACTGTGGAATAAATCTTTTGTCTCTTGCCACAGTCCCATCAGAGCACAAGCAAGGCTCTGAGAGCCAATGGGATGATAATTAAGGAGACAGAGATGGCTGATGGCACAATTCTGCTATATTTTTCAAATGCTTGTGTAATATTGGTCTAGACCCACTGTGCCCAAAAGTGCAAACAGCACACATCTTTCTACACTCTATTTCAATACATGTTTTCCACCCAAGCCTCCAGACAGTTGAAGCCCCAGGCCAAAAAGCTAGAACACAGACTTCCTCAAACCAGTAAAGAGCAAGGACTTGCAGTCCTGAGGGTGAGAGTCAATGGCCCTGAAGCCTTTGTTCACATTTTGTCTGCTCCTGGCAGGCACCCCAGGGTCTACAACAGTCTCCCTCTCTCTTATCAGAGAAACTACACTTGTCTCTTAGGTGTTTATTGTGATTTTTTGTAACCCCTTCCATAAAAAATAATTGGGAAAGACTGGATTGGAAACTTTCACCTATGATTTTAGTTCTCCAGTGTATGGGTTCTCCATGTCTCTATTGTGGACCAGAACTATTCCTCATGAAAATGGGAATCAAAGAGCATATTTCAATGTATAGACTTCAATTTAAAAGCACCTCTAACAATATACAGAAAAATATATAACAATATACAGAAAAAAAGCCTACATTTGTGATGAATTTCTTT